GGTTTCACCATGTTGACCAGGATGGTCTTGATCTCTTGACCTCGTGATCCACCCGCCTCGGCCTCCCAAAGTGCTGGGATTACAGGCTTGAGCCACCGCGCCCGGCCCAAACTGGACATTTCAAGACCCAAATACCTAATTAGAAAACCCTAAGCTGTAACACTATTTTTATCTCATGCATAGGGGTTACACTTGGAATGAAATGGACAATGCTGGGATCCCTAAGGATAAAGGTCTTAAAAGTCCTGAGATAAGCCTGCACCCTTTGCTACTTTTAACTGGTTTGGCCTTTTGCTGGATTTCAGGCTAATGACATAGACTAATTCGTTGCCACTCCAAAACTACCTGAACCAAACTATAAAATCTCACCTGATGTATACAATACAATCAATATAATTATTTTAAACCTCAATTTAGTGTTAACTAGCCTTTTAATGTAAATAAACACTTACCCAGTAAACTGATTAAAAATTGCATAATCTTCCGCAGTCCTCCCAAACATATCTTGAGAAGAGATGTCAATATTTTGCTGCAGAAGGCGGCTAACTATGTTTGCTGATCCACACAGTACGGCGAGAATGAGGGCTGTTCTAAAATGACAGAGCGATAACTTCTCCCTTAGGAACTGTAATAAAGCTATTTAAAAAGCTTATTCAGTATACTTTACCAACTTAATAGCTTGCCTGTCCATGTAGAATTAAGCATTTACTTGTACTAACAGACACCAGCACCTTGGGTGCTCAAGTGTTCATCTTTGTAAATTACCACCAAGGCTAAAAGGAAGGGACAAAGAGGAAGCCTCTTGTCCCGGTGGGGTACGTCATAGTAGAAGTTACTAATTTTCAGTCCCCTGATGAGCAAGAAACTATGCTGAGGTCACTTATCTAAAGTATGCAAAGATTTAAGTGAAGATTTCACCACTGCTTCCCTAGACTGATATGCTGTAATTCGAAATCAGCCAGGGGTCAGATAAGTGAGAGCTATCTGCAGGCTGAAAAACAATAATATCAATAACAATGGTAATACTAGTAGTCATAGTGGTTTCAGTTACTGATACTGATAAGCATGTGCTAGGCACTGAATTAAATGCTACACACACAATCTTTCTTACATACACAACCACCCTGGAAGGATATATTAGTATCCTCCTTTTAATACAGAAAAACATATTTGGTGATGAGTAATGTTCCCAAGGTCACACACCTAGCAAATGGGAAAGCTAGAAATTTAAACTCAGTCTTGTGTGAATCTGAAGCCTAACTCTTTTCTCTTTATCATCCACCTATGAGTTGTCTTCGTGAAAGAAAAAGTTTATCCACTGAAAACTGTATTTTCTCCCTCTGCCCATACCAATTTAAAAAACATCAAAATACATTAGAAGTGAAAAAGGAAACCCACATATCTGGTAATGGCAACAATTAACAGTCATGTAGAGATGATCTAACATTAATATTCTTCAAAGAAATAAAGCAAAGAGTTATCCAAAAGACAAAATTATTTTTAACTCTATTCATGTTAACAGAGCATGTTTAAAAGAAAAGCATGTAAGAAAGAGAGATTAAAAACTACAATAAAAGGGTTAAGAAATTCAGTATTGAGTCATAAAGTAAAAATTAAAAAGTCCACACTCCATAAAACTAATAAACTGACAGGAGACCTCTTTAACTAACACAAGATCATATGAGCCAAAACATCAACTTACAAATAACAAACACCAGTCAGTATAAGAGAAGATGAATCCTCCTATACACTGTTCTTCATGTCGCCCAGTCCAAATAATTTTCCACCAGATGATTTGTGTTTATATTTTTTACTATATCCCAGTAATTTTATTAATCTTTTTATTAATTTAGTATTTCTGACTTGAGTGACTGTTTTCACTCCAGAACAACACTGAGGGTTAAAAAAAGAACATACCTTTGACACTTATTAACTGCAAGTAAATTTGCTGCTCTCTCCAGGAAAAATTCTACCATTTGCTGTCTTTTTCCGCTTATGGCAAATAGAAGTGGTGTGAGGCCATTCTGTAACACACCAACAACAATTTATAATTCACAAAATTCTTATTTCTCAACTGGACTGGAAACCTTACATAATATCCTATAGACTTAAATGTATAACACAGAAAGTAAATTAAAAATAGCCTCTTCCTTCTCACTCCTCTGTTTTCCCATGTGCTGCTCCTTCCCTTACAGGCCACCCTCCTCTGCCTCACCACATCAACTTGAGTCATCTCCAAAACTCCCTTCAAATATTACTGGCTCCAAAAATCTTTGCTTCTATCACAGTATTTAGCATGGAATATTTTAATGGTTGTATTGCTTCCCATGTAAACCAAGAGCTTCTTGGAGGGCAGGCTCTTTATCGCTATATATGTCTCTGTATTTATCTCCATATTTCCAACCCCTGAGATATACCAGTAAATGCTTCAAGTATTTTTACTAAATTAATGATCTAATATATTTGCCTTTAGATCAGTGTTTCTTAAACTACATTCCAAAGAATACTTTACCAGAAGTTATAGACTGTACCCCAACAGGAAGATTCCATGATCATCTACATTTGGAAAATATTATTAAACAGCACATTATATATCCAGTATTCAAGAAATCTCTTGAGCTTTGCCTAATCCCTATTTGGCAATACTTTCTTTGTGGCAAACATTAACATTTGAAGATTTAGAGTTTCCGGAATACAGTGGTGAGAGCTTTCCAGTAAAGGTGGGTGTTTCCTCCAGGTTATACAAACTTCCTTAATTCTCTTCTATCACTGGTGTCAGGATCCCAGATGCCCAATGTCAGTGCCCAGTGTCAGGCCCTTCTGCTACAAATGGATCACTAAGAAAATGGTCTGTGAATTACAGAAATCAGCTTCAAATGAACTTCCATTGCTTATTATTAAAAGGCTCACAGGTTTTCTCCTACTACAAGAGGACAGATTTTTCCTTAGATGTTAGAAAGCACAGTATAAAATTCTGTTCTTAATTATAATCCTAAGACCCTAATGCATATCTACTGTTAAAATTCTTTGTTAATTTTGTTTTTATTGCCTCTTAAAACTATCTTTCATTTTAGGCAAAATGTAAATCAGAAATACAAATACAATGGCTTATCAATAAAACTATCTAATATCCATCTATCTGGATTGTTTCTATAATAATGAAAGCCACTAAGTCACCTGCATTTCTAAGGGACAATGCTGAGGAGAAAAATATGATGTTTTTTTTTTTGCAATATGAACAGCCCAGCCACCTATAGCCAGAAATAACCCAAACAGGCTTACAGGCATGCTGATGGGAAGGCGACTCTTTGTGGTATCTATAAAGCAAAAGAGTTTTTAAAAACAACTTCCAAATCCTAAAGTTCAACCCCATTACTAAGGGATATCTACAAAATATAGAATATATATTATAAACAAATATAAACTGTTTTGAAAAACTTCAAATCTTTATCAAAATATGCCATAAGACAGGAGCTGTAAACTCAAATCTTACCAAGGCAAAGGAAGTGACCTGAGTGAAGCACCTAGGTGGGCGCAGCAGCAAACCAGAGAACATATACCTCATACGAAGGGGAACCTAGTCACAGCACACCCAACAGTGACATGGGCTCAACCTGGTCGTAGCACACCGATCAGTGACATGGGCTCAAGGGACAACAGGCTTGATTCTTTTTTTTTTTTTTTTTTTTTTGAGATGGAGTTTCGCTCTTGTTACCCAGGCTGGAGTGCAATGGCGCGATCTCGGCTCACCGCAACCTCCGCCTCCTGGGTTCAGGCAATTCTCCTGCCTCAGCCTCCTGAGTAGCTGGGATTACAGGCACACGCCACCATGCCCAGCTGATTTTTTGTATTTTTAGTAGAGACGGGGTTTCACCATGTTGACCGGGATGGTCTCGATCTCTTGAGCTCGTGATCCACCCGCCTCGGCCTCCCAAAGTGCTGGGATTACAGGCTTGAGCCACGGCGCCCGGCCAACAGGCTTGATTCTTAAAGAGAAGCCTAAAATCCAGATTTGTGCATGAGTCTCCTAAATTTTACACATTTACACAATTTGTGGAGGAAAATTTAATGTATCTGCGGGCCACATTTAGACTACAGCCCTTGTGTTTTTATACTTGTTATAGATATGTTTCAAAATGGTTGTGTGTAAAGTATTTGCATGTAAAATATTTCCTTTAATTTCAGATGTTTTACCAAAACAAATCAGGCCCTAACATGTAATAAAAAGTGCTATTAAAACTCACAGTTGCTCACACCTGCAAGTCCAGCACTCTGGGAGGCCAAGGCAAAAGGATCACGTGAGCCCAGAGTCTGAGACCAGCCTGAGCAACATAGTGAGACCCTGTTGCTTCAACAAAAAAAAAAAATACTCACAGGCCCAAAATACTGACACTTCAAGAATTTTTCCAATATTTATTCAATTAAAATCTACTTGTATTTATTTTTCCCAGATTGTTAACCAAATGGATTAGTCCACATGACTGCGGAAACTAAATTATTAAAAGAATCAATATTTGTACTCTTACTAATTTCATGGTTTTTAGTGCTTAAAACTGCCATCTTGATTATTTAAAAACTCTGTGAACTTAACAGAGATACTGAGATAGTCCATAACAGAGCTTCAATTAAAAAAAAAAAAAAAAGCTTAAGTGTTTGCCAGCTCTAATCGAGAAAACTCTGCTTGTAATAAAGATTAATCTGCTTGCAATAAACGATAATCACCTGGATGATAACAAAGACAGAAAATCCTAAAGGAGTCAGCCTCTGCTTACTGAAAGGCTATGATGTTGGGAAGGAAAAGGTATTCTGTAAGCTGATAGATATTACCAATAATATTCCTTTTAACTTCCCAACCACAGAGGTAAAGAAAGATAAAAGTCAGAACAGTATTGAAAAGAGACAGATTTAAAGGAAGTAGCACCTATCAAACTCCAACTCCTCTAGGGATTTCTTAAGTTTCTGAGAATGAGCATTTACATATTACACCTATCTGTTCACTGGCTCTTAACCAGGACTGTATCTGAAGTTTCAGGAATTTACTGCTGTTGTTAGAGACAGGCTCTCACTATGTTGCCCAGGCTAGACTCAAACTCTGGGGCTCAAGCAATCCTCCCAATTCAGTCTCCCAATTAGCAGGGACGTCAGCCAAGTACCACTACACCTGGCTTCAGGGAAATATTTTCAAACATAAACTTGTTCAGGCTTTATTAGATTTATTATATCAAAAGTATTCAGGGAAGAGCTTAGACTTGTAGATTTTTCTTAAATTTCCTCAGGTTACTGTGATGCACAATTCTAGCTGAGAACTAGTACAACAATTACTTCAGTCTCATCTCTCACCCACATGACCAGTTCCCTTTATCGTTTGAGGATTTTGCCAAAAAGAGGAAAGAATAAAAGACAGTCATTTACTAAAAGCTCCCATTTAGTTTTCCTGGGTAGGAGTAGCACAGGGACTAGTAAACTCAAAATCCAACTTGATTTTGCTATTTCTAAACTCCGCATCGCCCACCTTCCCGTCAGCGCGTTCTAGATTTGAGGGCTGAGCACAGACGCTTATCTAAGTGGCTGTTTCCTACTTCATCACCACCTAGTCGCAGCTAATCTTGTTTCCTCAGAGTCCTCCTAAAATGGATTCTTAGGCAAGTTCACAACTCACTCTCTTCCAAACTGAAAACGATGATCCGATTATCCCCAAAACTGAAGAAAACCTTGTCTAACCATATAAACTAGAAAAAAAGAAACAGTAACAACAACAACAAAACACATTTAAAAAAAGGTCGCCTTGGTATTCTCCCTCAATTAGCTAACTTCCAAGCTGGCCTCCATATTTCTGGTTGCTTTTTTTTCCCTTTCCATTTTGCCCTCCTAAGCTTTGCCACTGAGAGCTAAACTGCTTGCATGTGTGTTATTTTTTTTAAGAACCTGTCAATAGCAGAAAGATTTCTATTTATTGAAAAATGTTTTTCCTTGGAGTTTTAAGATAAAGTCTATTTCCAGGGCACATTTTGCTTTCTTGTGTTGTTTTTCGCAGATTAGGAAAAAAAATTGGGAAGAAAAAAATTTTTAAGTGTTAACTTTTACAAACTCAGTGTTTTCAAAAATATTTACCATATGTGCATAAAAGAAAGCTGTGCCCTCTAATGCTGCTTTAAAAGTATCAAGATTTGAAATATTAGATAATTATTTCAAAATATTCTCATTCAGGGAGTGCTTGAGCTTCCAAATATGGAAAACTGACCATTACATATGCCAGTGTTAAAACAAATGCATTTCAAATAGTTTGAAAATAAAGTTGGTTGGTCTATACCTCATTTTCTGCCTCCATATTTGTACTATATAAAAGCAGTTTTTCTGCCAGTGATTGATCCTCATTATGCACAGCATAGTGTAGAGCGGTGTTGCCGTAGATATCTGGAAGGTCTGGATCAGCACC